TAAAAGATATATATAGATTGGAAAGGAAGAAATAAATTATCTTTGTTTGCAAATGACATCATTTTCTATGTATAAAATTCCAAAGAATCAAAAAAATACAAAAACCTCTGGGAATTAATAAGTAATTATAATATGGTCTCAGGATACAAAGATAATACACAATAGGCAGTCAATTGCTTTCTTTTTATTTTGAGAGGGTTTTTTTTTTCTTTGCTATAGGGCACATGCACTAGCCAGAAAGACAGAGAGAGAGACAGACAGACAGACAGAAAGCAAGAAATCACCCCCCCACCATGGGGGATGGCCACGCCACAATCCCTTCTCCTCTGTTCTCCACTCAGGATCTTGGGCATGCACGCACATGTGCCTAGAATGAGTTTAAGCCACAGGGTCTGGGACTGGAACCACAGTCGACAACATGGGAGTCCAGTGACATAGCCATTATGCCAACTGTTGGTTCCCAATAACTGCAATTTTAAAAATTGTAAGTGGGGACCAGCATGTGGCATAGTGGCTACATTACTGGACTCCCACATGGCCCACACCATGTTTCAAGTCCTGGACCTGGTGGCTTGAAACTCACGCTGGGGCATATTTGCGTTCATGTGTACCCAAGATCCTGAGAGGAGAATGGATTGCAGTGTGGCCAACCCCCCCCTGCCCCCCGCCAGGGTGATTTCCTCACTTTTCCACTTACTGTCTCTGTCTTTCTCTCCCTCTCTGGTGAGCACAGTACCCTAAGGCAAAACAAAATAAAACAGAAAACAAATAGTAAATAATACTATTTATCAAAATGAAGCACTAAAAAAAGAAATAGGTATAAATCTAACAAAATATATTCAGAATCTATATAGGGGAACACTACAAAACTGCTAAAAGTAATCAAAGAAAATTCTAAATAAATGAAGAGATATTCCACATTCATGGATTGAAAAACTCAATATTGTTGGGACCAGCAGACACCATAATGGCTACATCACTGGACTTCCATGTAGTAGACCACAGTTCAAGTCCTGGACTTGGTGACTTAAACTCACGCCAGGTACCTGTGTGTGCATGCCCAAGATTCTGAGAGGAGAATGGAGGAGAGGGATTGTGGTGTGGCTAGTCCCACTGGGGGTTAATTTCTCACTTTCTGTCTCTCTGGCTAGCACACATATCCTATAGCAAAAATCTCTCAAAAAAGAAAAAAGAAAGAAAGAAAAGAGAAAAGCTGAATATTGTTAAAATAGCAATTTTTCCCAAATTAGTCTATAGATTTAATGATACCCCCAATCAAAATACCAACAGGCTATTTTGATCTTGACAAACTGATTCTAAAGTGTATATGAAAAAGGGAAAGACATAATTTAGCCAACAATACTGAAGGTGAAAAGTAAAGTTAGAGGATTCATACCATTTAATTTCAAGACTTACTATGAAACTCCATAATGAAGACACCCTAGTATTGGTGAAAGAATAAGATGTAGCTCAGTGGAACAGAACAGAGAGCCCAGAAACAGATCAACAAAAATAGTCAATTAATCTTGATGAAGGAGGAAAGGTAATTAAAGGGAAAAAAAGTATTTTAAAGTTTGTGCTACAGGGCACGTGCGCTCGCCAGACAGACAGACAGAGAGAGACAGAGAGACAGAAAGCGAGAAATAA